ATATATATATATATATATATATTTAGCAATCCATTTGTAACAAGTTGCGTACCATTAACTGACGCAATCCATCCTCATCGCCACAAGTTTTCTTTTTAATGAAACTCAAAACAAAATAGAAGGAAATAATAAAGGGTGGCACACGGGAAGTTAATCCCTCTCAATATTTTCTTTAAACAATTCTTCTCAATACATTGACCATCCAAACCCACAGAATACTTAATATGAGTATATGACCAATTAAAAAAAAGACCCAAATTTGAGAAGGAAAAAATAAAAAGGGACCAAAGTTGCTGATTTTTTGCTATAAATACCAAGTTTTCTCAACATCTTCTCTCATCAATACACTCACATTTTATCCAGTTCAATCATTATGGCTTCCTCTTCCTCATTCCATTTTCTTCTCTTCTGCTGTCTTCTTGTCTCCATTATCTTCCTTTCCGCAGCCAAAACGACATCGTTCCGACCCAAAGCTCTTGTTCTCCTGGTGACCAAGGACGCACCAACAAGCCAATACCTTATCCAAATCAAACAAAGAACCCCTCTTGTCCCCGTCAAGCTCACTGTCAACCTTGGCGGCGAGTTCCTTTGGGTCGACTGTGAAAAGGGCTACGTCTCGTCGTCCTACAAGCCCGCCCGATGCGGCTCGGCGCAGTGTAACCTGGCCTGGTCCAAGGCCGGCTGTGGTTGGTGCAACTCGCCGCCCAAACCAGGCTGCAACAACAACACATGCTTCCTCTTTCCTAACAACCCTTTCATCCGTACAAGCAACAGCGGAGATTTAGGCTCCGATGCCGTCGAAATCCAATCAACCAACGGATTTAATCCCGGAAGAGTGGTTTCTATGCCGAAAGTTCTCTTCACTTGCGCTCCAACTTTTCTCTTGGAAGGCCTCGCTTCTGGGGTCACCGGAATTGCAGGCCTTGGAAGGAGGAAGATTGCACTTCCAGATCAGTTCGCTTCTGCATTCAGCTTCAACAGAAAATTTGCTGTTTGTTTAAGCTCTTCAACGAGATCCAAGGGTGTTATATTCTTTGGAAATGAGCCCTATGTTTTCCTTCCAAATATTGACATCTCCAAAAATCTTATCTACACACCGTTGATCCTCAGCCCGATGCCTACTTCTGGCGTTTACTTCAAAGGCGATACCTCCCCAGACTATTTCATCGGAGTAAAGGGCATTAAGGTAAACGGCAAACCCGTGGCGGTGAATACTAAACTCTTGTTCATTGACAGCGAAGGTTATGGTGGAACAAAGATCAGCACCGTTGATCCCTACATGTCGTTGGAAACATCCATATACAGTGCCGTTGTTGATGCTTTTGTCAAAGAGCTAGGTAACAAAGCTGTTAGGGTTACGGCGGTATCGCCATTTGGGGCGTGCTTCAGCTCGAAGAATATCGGCAGCACGAGAGCCGGCCCTGCCGTGCCGGCGATCGACCTTGTGTTGCAGAACAAGGATGTGTACTGGAGGATTTTTGGCTCCAACTCCATGGTTAGGGTTAGTGAGGATGTTTTGTGCCTTGGATTTGTTGATGGTGGTCCGCTTCGGTATGTCGACTCGGATGTGAAGTTCACTCCTACTGCCATTGTGATTGGAGGGCATCAGATTGAGGACAATTTTCTGCAGTTTGATTTGGCTAATTCTAGGCTTGGATTTAGCTCTTCATTGCTTTTCCGACAAACAACATGCTCCAACTTCAACTTCACTTCTATTGCGAATTAGAAGGACTTTTAATTATTTAGTTATATATTATCAGCATTAGTTTCTTTTGTCTTGCAAATAAATGGCCATTTGCAAATGTTGTTAGTTTGAAATGGCTCAGCTCATAATCATTAATATTGTATTTCCATCTTTTGTTTAACTTCTTTTTCTCTCCTTGTTATGGTGAAACCGTTCAATTTAAGTCGTTCAAAACATGTAGTACTTGCCGAAATTTTGCCAATTCGTAGGAATCTTCGTTGGTCCACGTACGCTTATGACTTTCTATATGCATGAGGAATATGTGATAATGCATGATAAACTGGTGAAATTAGACTTTACTCTTTTGTTAATTAAACCGCATACTTTTTACTACGGTTCGGCTAAAGCCATGCATAAGTATACAGATATAAATGCACTCCAGTTGTGTTTTGACCCATAGCAGTATGGACAATATAATCCATATATATATATATATATTAAGAAAATTAGCCGAATGAAGTCCTAAGGATCCTTAGTGTGAGGTTAGTCTACATTAGTAGAGAAAGGAATGAAAAACAAACTTATAGAAATTGATATTAATCATCTGGAACCCTGTGATCATAAACTGATCTGGATCAAGTGAGAAAGCATCATTCACCACACACGGAGTATTCAACTAATTAAACTTACTCACTTTTAGATTAGATTCAATTGTTCAATGTTTGTGTTTTTCTGTAAGTTATATCTAACGAAGCAACCTTTGAGGATAATCTTTTGAAAATCACTAATTCCATTTATCGAGTTTGTTTTTTATTTTTATTTTTATTTTTTTTCTCAAGAACAAGCAAAATCTTAAATTTGAGGGTGTAATAACTCAATAAAAAAGAGTTATTTTACCTATAGTTTTGTGCGAAAATTAGCTTAATTCTCAAGATTTTAATTTATTTATATGCATTTTTCATTAGTTTTAATTTATTTAGTTCTGTGTTTGAATTTTAATTAATTTCGTGTGCTTTGTTTTATTTTAGTGTGCTTGATTTTAATGTTTTATTTTTATCTTAGTAGTATTTAAAATTTTGAGGGAAATGGTATAAAAACTGATAAATTTAGACCACATTTTGCATTTCGAATACTATTAATTCTGGTTTTATATAATATAATTAATTATAATTTAGTTTTTATTAACTCCAGAATTGAATTCAGGCCGTTGATCTACAGCTTGGACGGTCCAGATATGGAGCGTGCTACACAACCCCGACAGGAAGCGAGTGGCGTTATGGTTCCGCGTTAGTCCGCACCAGCTCTGGGCCCCATTGCGTCAGCGCACACGATCCACTCCCGCCAAACTATCAGTCGCCACGTGGATCGCACTCTTCTTCAGCCTGTCCTCGCGTCAGCCTTGGGACCCATCGCCCTAGCTCTTCAGCAATTCCCGTCGCGACATGTGGCTAACTTGACTACATTTTCAGCTCGCGTCAATAGCAGGTCCCACGCATTAAATTCTCCGGCTAATCCGAAAACGCCATGTGGCAAACTATTGCATGCTGAAATCAAACCCCATACCCTTAGTTAGGGCTGTCAATCCCGGTACACTAATTTGAAACCCACAAAGTTAGTGAGTTTAGATTGACTAATAAATAGATTTAGGTCACAATCACATTAATATGATTAATATGATTAATAAATAAGTTGAGTTAGGCTTGACCTCTTAATAAGTAGTCACACAAATTAACACGGTTAATTATATGTGTCATCTGTAATGTAATGATACGTGATATAACATAAAAGTTTATGTGACTTATTAAATATAAATAATGTGAATTTTAATATTTTTAGGTAAAATACATTTATTTGATCAATAAATATGTTAAACATGTCTTGACCGTGTGTTAAATAAGTTATTATTATAATAGTTAATTATTCAATATATTAATTTGAATGAGTTATACGAGTTGACACGATTAACACGATTAATAAATAAGACGTGTTTGAGTTGATAGTTTTGATACGTTTAATAAACATGTCGTGTTTGGGTTGATATTTTCTAACGCAATTAATAAACGGGTTGACACAAACACGACCCATTGAGACAAATTGCCACTCTTACTCTTGATCGCCACATGTCGCCTGAAGTGCATTCCAACCTTGCATTCAGCTGATTCGAAGAAAGAATTTGAAATACGACTTTGCAAATTAAGTAAATAATTCTCTTAAGAGCATGGGCCTGTGTAAAATTTCTCAGAGGTTCTCCTTGGCACCACGGTAAAGCTTATAAATAGAAGGAAAATAGTAGAAAATAGGCCAATATGAAAAGTTTAAGAAAGTATATAGGCCAATTTTTAGTTATAGAAATTAATAAGTCATAACTTATCAAGTTATGGTTCATAACTAGATAAATTATGGACAAACTTGTCAAGTTATGGTTCATAGCCAAACAAGTTATGGACAATAACTTGTCAAGTTATGGTTCATAACCAGACAAGTTATGGACAAAAACAGTAATTTGACCTATTTATTAACTTATGTAAACTATTGGCCTATTAATTTTAAGTTATCTCAAGTCTTGACCTATTTCTCTCTTTCTCCCTAAATAGAATTCTGGACTGAAGCGATGGGGCATCCAATCTTGAGGTGAGAAGCTGCGAAGAAAAAATATATATTTTGTTTCAGTTTTCAATTTCTTGTTTTTAAGTTTCTAGTGTAGTTTGTGGTGGAGAAGTTTTAGATCCTGTTAGGAGATTTTTAAAACAGATCAAAGATTGTATCCGCCACCAGTATTTATATTAAAACTTTGTTTTTATTTTTGAGGTGTTTTATCATTAAGAAAATGCTGTTTGATTTTGTTGTGTTAGTTCAATTGTGATTATGTTCTAAGTTTAATTCTGTCGGGATAATGATTTAACCATATTATGAGGATTTAATTCATTAAAAATGCTATTATGATTGTCATATTTAAGTTGACGTATATATTTATGAACTTGATGCTTTTAAAATTTCTGATTAGCTTTTTGAATTAATTGAGGATTACAATGAAACCGAGAGGAGATTTTTTTGACATAACTCTAAAATAAATATGTAAAACCTGAGATATTATAGAGATATAATTATATGTTTTTATGTGGTCATTTTTTAATTCACTGAATTGAATAAATATTTTTATAATTTAATTCACATAGAGATATAGTGGATTTTTATGAAAATGTATGTTTTATGTCTAACTTGAGAGAGACTACATGAAACAAGAGTGGATTCGACCATCAACTTATTATGATCACAAAATCATAGTAACGTTTAAATAAATTAAATCTGATTAATATTAGTGAAATCATGATTCTTAACATTTCTATCATTATCGTTTAATCTCTTAAATATAAACTCTGTTATTCTGCATAGCTTAGTATTTGTTTTATTACTTTAATATTCTAAATTTTGTCGTTTTAATCAACATCAATCAGAAAAATCCATCTTTTATTTCCTTAAATAAAGTAAAAATTACCCAACTTTAATACTTAATAAATTTGCTATCTTTATGGGACGATACTCTTATTATTCATCATTGTATTACATGTTCCATTTTGTGCACTTCCAAATCAACGCAACACACGCTTTTCGATGTTTCCATCATATTCTTTACTCTTGTGCTAAGAGTGGTAAAGATCTAAGTATCGACGATGTCTCATATAACGTCTTACTATTTATCCGAAAGGAAGATGTGTCCTCAGAACACGGCGGACAAGCCTTAGTGCCCTTTAGTGCTATACCCAGATATAGTTCCATAAGCAGGAAAATCATTTATAGTTATAAGCAGGAAAATCATTTATAGCTCATAGTACAGCTCGCATGGTAAAATAATCTTTCTCCATCAAATCAAAAGTTTCTACACCTTTTTCCCATATTTCTTTGACCTCATCCATGAAAGGATATTGTAAATACACATACATGTCATATTCAAATCTAAAACTCTTCATTTTTTTTTTTTCAAATTCTAAGATAATGCGTGACGAGGGAGAGAAAATATATAAAATATGACAAGAACTTAATATTTAACAAAAATGATTTCAATATAGATCTTCAATTAATGCTACAATAATAATCTTATCCACAGCTATATATTATAAGCAAGTCAGTCAATTCCTATTAAACAAATTAGGAAAACACAATGATTCAAATCGGTATGAAAGACATTAATATTGGTAAAGACATTATTTCGTGATTTTTTGTCCGAGTTTGTGAGTTTTGGATGAGTTTGTTATTTTATGTTTTTTGTTCTTTGTTATTGTGATTTGGTTACGGTGAGAGTTTTCAGCAGAGTCCAGTTTGTAATTTTATTTTTTTATTTTGGAATTTCAGTTCAAATATGATAAATATAATATTTATCAGTAAATACTTCACTATATTTAATTCTCAATTTGATAAAATACTGTATTTACTAGAATCTAATTTCTGATTTGGTTAATACTATATTTACTAATCATTGGAGCTAGTCTCTAAATTTTTGAATATATGTGATAAATATAGTATTTATCGGTAATACAATATTTACTACTCGTCTAAGTTAATCGCTGTATTTTCAGATAAATATGATAAATACGATATTTATTACTACCTAGAGCCGGTTGCCGGTCACCGAAAAACTGTCTTCGGTTGCCGAAAAAATATTACCGGAGCCGGTGGTCGGCCACCGATCGCCAGAACATTCGATGATGGACTTGACTATAAGAAGAAGAAAGGAGGGGTGGGAGGCTTAAGGGTATTTTTTAATTTTTAATAATGTATAAAAATATTAAATTATATTATAATCTACCATCTTAAAAAATATACTATAATTTACTAATCATCCTATTAAATATATGATTTCCCTCCATCTCCTTAAATTATATCCAGTCGGCGCACTTATTGTCTTTATTCTTATTCTTTTCTTGTATAAATTATTTTATATGTTTTATTCCGTATGACTATATATTCGTACATATATATATTCATATATATATATATATATAACAATCCAGTTTTAATACCGACGCAAGTTGCCACAATTGACTGACGCATTCCATCCTCCTCATCGGCCCACAAGTTGTATTTTTAATAAAACTCTAAACAAAGTAAAACAAATAATAATAATAATAATATAATGAACTTTGGATGGGCTTTTGCATTAAAATGAAATAATATAGGGCCCCACCCAAAATTTAATCCCTCTAAAATATTTTTATAGAATTCGTCTCAATATATTGACCATAGTCATAAGCCAAATAAAAACAAAAAACAAAAAAAAAATTAAAAGATCCAAACTTTATAAATAAAAAATTAAAAAGGACTCACAGCTGCTGAATTTTGCTATAAATACCAACATTTCACAACTTCTTCTCTCATCAACTCACACACATTCTCCATTTCAACTATGATTATGGCTTCCTCTTCCTCATTCCATTCTCTTCTCTTCTGCTTTCTTCTTTTCCCCATTATTTTCCTTTCCACAGCAAAAACGACATCGTTCCGATCCAAAGCTCTAATTGTTCCAGTAACCAAAGTAACCAAAGACCTATCAACAAGTCAATACACAATCCAAATCAAACAAAGAACCCCCCTTGTACCCGTCAAGCTAACCGTCGATGTCGGCGGCGAGTTCCTCTGGGTCGACTGCGAAAAGGGTTACGTCTCGTCCTCCTACGAGCCAGCTCGCTGCGGCTCGGCACAGTGTAACCTGGCCCGGTCCAAGGCCTGCGGCGAGTGCTACTCGCCACCCAAACCAGGCTGCAACAACAACACTTGCGGCGTCTTCCCTTACAACCCTCTCACTAGTGCAAGCATCATCAGAAATTTCGGCTCCGACATCGTCGAAATCCAATCCACCAACGGATTCAACCCCGGAAGAGCCCGGTCACCGAAAAACTGTCTTCGGTTGCCGAAAAAATATTACCGGAGCCGGTGGTCGGCCACCGATCGCCAGAACATTCGATGATGGACTTGACTATAAGAAGAAGAAAGGAGGGGTGGGAGGCTTAAGGGTATTTTTTAATTTTTAATAATGTATAAAAATATTAAATTATATTATAATCTACCATCTTAAAAAATATACTATAATTTACTAATCATCCTATTAAATATATGATTTCCCTCCATCTCCTTAAATTATATCCAGTCGGCGCACTTATTGTCTTTATTCTTATTCTTTTCTTGTATAAATTATTTTATATGTTTTATTCCGTATGACTATATATTCGTACATATATATATTCATATATATATATATATATATAACAATCCAGTTTTAATACCGACGCAAGTTGCCACAATTGACTGACGCATTCCATCCTCCTCATCGGCCCACAAGTTGTATTTTTAATAAAACTCTAAACAAAGTAAAACAAATAATAATAATAATAATATAATGAACTTTGGATGGGCTTTTGCATTAAAATGAAATAATATAGGGCCCCACCCAAAATTTAATCCCTCTAAAATATTTTTATAGAATTCGTCTCAATATATTGACCATAGTCATAAGCCAAATAAAAACAAAAAACAAAAAAAAAAATTAAAAGATCCAAACTTTATAAATAAAAAATTAAAAAGGACTCACAGCTGCTGAATTTTGCTATAAATACCAACATTTCACAACTTCTTCTCTCATCAACTCACACACATTCTCCATTTCAACTATGATTATGGCTTCCTCTTCCTCATTCCATTCTCTTCTCTTCTGCTTTCTTCTTTTCCCCATTATTTTCCTTTCCACAGCAAAAACGACATCGTTCCGATCCAAAGCTCTAATTGTTCCAGTAACCAAAGTAACCAAAGACCTATCAACAAGTCAATACACAATCCAAATCAAACAAAGAACCCCTCTTGTACCAGTCAAGCTAACCGTCGATGTCGGCGGCGAGTTCCTCTGGGTCGACTGCGAAAAGGGTTACGTCTCGTCCTCCTACGAGCCAGCTCGCTGCGGCTCGGCACAGTGTAACCTGGCCCGGTCCAAGGCCTGCGGCGAGTGCTACTCGCCACCCAAACCAGGCTGCAACAACAACACTTGCGGCCTCTCCCCTTACAACCCTCTCATTAGTACAAGCACGGGAGGAGATTTCGGCTCCGACATCGTCGAAATCAAATCCACCAACGGATTCAATCCCGGAAGAGCGGTTTCTGTGCCGAAACTCCTCTTCACTTGTGCTCCAACCTTTCTCTTGGAAGGCCTCGCTTCCGGGGTCACCGGAATTGCAGGCCTCGGAAGGAAGAAGATTGGACTTCCTTCTCAGTTCGCTTCGGCTTTCAGCTTCAACAGAAAATTTGCCGTTTGTTTAAGCTCTTCTACAAAATCCAAGGGTGCTATATTCTTCGGGAATGAGCCCTATGTTTTCCTTCCAAATATTGACGTATCCAAAAATCTTATCTACACACAGTTGATCCTCAACCCGGTGCCTACTACCGGCAGTTACTTTGAAGGCGAAACGTCCGCGGACTATTTCATAGGAGTAAAGGGTATTAAGATCAACGGTAAACCCGTGGCTGTGAACACTACACTCTTGTCCATTGACAGTGAAGGGCGTGGGGGAACAAAGATCAGCACCGTTGCTCCCTACACAATCAGCACCGTTGCTCCCCACACGTCGTTGGAAACATCTATATACAATGCCGTTGTTGATGCTTTCATTAAAGAGCTCGGAAACAAGGTTACTAGGGTTGCGGCAGTGGCTCCTTTCGGGGCGTGCTTCAGCTCGAAGAACATCGGCAGCACGAGAGTCGGCCCGGCGGTGCCGACGATCGACCTTGTGTTGCAGAACAAGAATGTGTACTGGAGGATTTTTGGAGCCAACTCCATGGTTAGCGTAAGTAAGGATGTTTTGTGCCTTGGATTTGTTGATGGTGGTCCGCTTCATTTCGTTGATGGGGGTGTGAAGTTCACTCCTACAGCCATTGTGATTGGTGGGCATCAGATTGAAGAAAATCTTCTGCAGTTTGATTTGGCTTATTCTAGGCTTGGATTTAGCTCTTCTTTGCTCCTCCGACAAACAACGTGCTCCAACTTCAACTTCACATCCACTGCTTAGGGAAATATCAAATTTCTCGTAGTTCCATTGTTTTGTGTTGAAGTAGTATTATAGAATTGCCACTAGCTTTACTTTATGTGCTTGATTTACGTTCTTAATAAGGTGTCATAATTGTTATTCCATCTAGCGTGGGGCCAAAAGGAAAGTTGGCTACTTTGGTTGTAATAAGATATCTGAGAGTGAAATATGTTGTTCTTCTTTCTTTCCGTTTATACAAATTTCATTATGTAGTTGTGAGACTAACAAATTATAAAGCTTGTTTCCTACCCAAAAAAAAGGGAAGTATATAGTATAAAGTAAGACGAAATTAAGCTTACTTTTCAATCACCACGTGTATTTACTTTAATTTATGCTGATTTCAACAACTCTCAGACAATATATTAACTTTATTGACTTGACCAGATCTAACATATAGTTAATAAATATCCACTAGGATATATTATTTGAAATAGTTGAGTTTGTGTTAGTTAGGAAATCACAAATTTTTACCGTAACGCAAATCTACAACTATATACGCACTCCAGCTATGTGTGATGTACATAAGATCAGAAAACGGGCATCAGGGGGGTCCAGAGAGATTGGTTGTCTAAAAAAGAAATATCTTTGGTTGGAAGAACATTTCTAAGCAAAGGGGTAGTCTGGGAATAGCAGATGTTAAAAATTGACATAGTGAATTATGGACATTGGACAATAGTGAATTATGGACATTGGACAATCTTGAATCTTTGGAAACTGATTTCTTAAGGTCGCATCTTCTACAAGATCCACTTTTCTAAGGTTGGAGACAGGAATTTTAGTGACGTATGATAATTATTAGAATCCAACATTGACTGGAGATATTGGCATGATCCACTTAATAAGGTGAGGGCAATCATCTGCTAATAAGCTGATTTTGTTAGGTTGAGTTAGACCCAATATCCTTTGATTTCTATAAAATAGTATCAGAGCAGGCTCAATTTTATAATATTGAGTCCCCCAATATCGACTTATTCGCAGCGGTTTGACATGGTCCACGCTGTGTGTGAGGGGGCATATTAGAATCCCACATTGACTGAAGATATTAGCATGATCCACTTAATAAGTTGAGGACAGTTCTCCTTTAACAAGCCGGTTTTGTTAGCGGCGATGTTTTGTGGCTTGGATTTATTGTGATTTGAATTTTGAAAATTACTCCTTTAATTATTTGAAATATTGGGCGGGGTTTGGACTCTTTGAAACTTGATTGCAGCAAATTATTACAGATCTTTTTGCCATTGAATATGCAAGAGTTAATAGATGTTCATCTCGCTAATTTTTACTGGACGATATTATTATAGGAAGAAAAGATTAATCTTTTTTTTTTTTTTGGGTAACTTTGAAGTATGAGAACTTACCTTATTTTGATCGCGTGCAAATCAATTGAACTTAATTCTCGTTCTATGTGACTTTTGTTCTTTTGTAACAGAACGATTTCTTTTTTTATTATTATTTATTATTATTCCAATATAATTACTCGTTAAAGGTAAAGCCGCCTAAGACCATGGCGACTAAATCTAATTACAAATAACATTAATTTTAGTCATATCTCAGCTAAGAGAAGAAAGGAGATACCTAGCCTTATTCATTCAAAAGGAATTTTTGGAGTCAGATCTGCAGTACTCGCTTTATCAGATAACATATAGATGTAGAAGAATTCACATGTAATAGACACTTGTCAAGATTAGAAAGGAAGAAAAGTTCAATTTCTCTTCTAAATAGACACGTCTCAAGATTAGGAAAAAAGAACAGTTTAAATTGTCTTTTGGTAGACACTTGTCAAGTAGATGGACACTTAGACTTTTATCAATAGCCATGATTTAGCCAAAGGAGGGACTTACAATCCAAAGGGGGGGGGCGCTTACGATCCAAAGGGGGGACGGACGATCCAAAGGGGAGGACCGATGATCCAAAAGAGGGGACCGACGATCCAAAGGGGGGACCGACGATCCAAACGGGGGACCTATGATCCAAAGGGGGGGACCTACGATCCAAATGGAGGGACCAACGATCCAAATGGGTGGACCTACGATCCAAAAGGGGGGACCTACGATCCAAAGGGGGGGACCAACGATCCAAAGGGGGGGACCTACGATCCAAAGGGGGGGACCAACGATCCAAAGGGGGGGACCAACGATCCAAAGGGGGGGACCTACGATCCAAAGGGGGGGGATGAGTGAGTTTTACTTGCTCATTTAGTATCGTTTTACACTTAATATCTAGTTGGTTTTCGTGGTTTTTATTAGTTTTTATTTGTGTGTTCGTTCTTTGTTTGAAAGTTAGGTGAAAGTGTATGATTTGAAAGGTTTTGGACAACTTTTGGTGGAAAAGACAACAAACATAGCGCTTAGGCACCAATTTGTAGCGTTTTGGCGCTCAGTTTACGGAACCAGGACATTTGGGTAGAATGGGTAGCGTTTTGGCGCCTATGATAGCGTTTTGGCGCCCATGATTTTTCACAGCCACTATCGCAGCGCTAGGAGCTCAGTGCCGCAGCACTACGACGTGAGAAAAGACGCGTTTTGAAGGCCAATCGTGAGAAAACTTACCCTCGTTGACCCTAATGCTCCAAAACATATAAATAGATGATTCTAGGACAATTAGAGGGACTTTTGCATGGGAGAGTGACGGCTAACTTTGGAGAGGAGATTCAAGAAGAGAAAGGAGAATTGAGTACGGAGAGTGACGGCATTCATGTCATATATCATAATACATTATGTGCTACTAAAACGTGTATCGCTTATGTTCTTCTTCTTTCATTACATTCTTTGTTCTGCTTTCGTCTCATTTTAGTCGTTCATATCGTATTTTCACATTCTGAACGACTTTCATTTCGTGTTTCTCATTCTTTTCATTCTTCTTTACAGATACCGTACCTTATATGGAATGGTTTATGTTTTTCACTTTCTTGTCTTTTACTTCTTATGGGCCCTGTCCTGTTGTACCATTGCGCGCATAACCAGTGAGGAGTGGGGTAGCTAACCAATCCAACTCAGTCATGGTTTCATATCTTTCATAGTCTCATAATAACCTTTCCTTCGAAAGCTGGTACAAACAGGACGTTTAGTCTCTTACCGTTTATCAATTTTCTCATTGAAACGGTAACTTTAGTTAAATCTTATGAATTTGTGCATTATTGAGCATTTTATCATAAGATTAACTTTTCGTTAAAGCTTAACCTTTCATTTCTCTTAGTTTGTTCTCGACTTAACATCGATACATACTTTTTGTAGAATAAAGTTCTACGAATACATAAGTCTTGTAGATACATACTTAACATAGTATCTAACATTCACATTGTATCTAACATTCAAAATTCTACTATATGCACAATTTTTGTGCAACATAGAAAAGTAAGCTTGTTCGTGAAGTAGCCATAGAAAAACTATTGTACTTACTGAAGTTTCGCTAACAACGCGTCATTTGTCTCCCTTGACGCTTTCTGACTTCAACCGTTAATCGGCCCTATTGCATAAATTTTTTGATCGTTAGATTTAGAATCTAAGATCAATAATTACATTGAAATTTACTTCAGAAAGGATCTACAATCCTTATGTTTGGTATTCAACCTCAAACCATTTCCTATCTCAAGGATTTGCACTAAAACCGTGCAAATTACTCAGTCATGGGCCTAATTTTTAGTTTTTGTCCAAAACTGTGAATTCTCGTTGTGTTCGGTTTTTGAACCTCAATCTATTCATTCCCGAGCCTTAACACCGTTATTCATTCTCTAAAATCGGATTACTAACTCATTGCTTACTAACTAAATTTTAGAAAATTTTGGCAGAGTTTCGCCTTATTTTTCTCATTTCTTGAGTTTTGAATAACTCGTTCTATTTCCGATTTCGGTACCTGGACTCAAGATTCACATTCCTGAATATAGATTCTAACATAAATTGAACAAAAAAACATGTTCTCCATTTCTAGGGTTTTTCGGATTTTTAGTGCAAATCCAAAAAATTTTGTTCAATCGTTTCAATACTTACATGTTAGACTCATATCACAGTCCCCGATAAAACCTCAGTTTCATTTTTCAGTTTTACGGATTTTTTCCGAGATGAGTTACTATTCATCAAAACGAAAAAACAAGCAGTTTCTCATGAAAAATAATAAATCTTACCTCGAAAAGTTGAGATTTTCCGCTAGAATGCCTCGGGTTACATTTCTACCAGACTGAACGGAAGAAATTTCGGTAAAATCGGGTGATTCCTTGATTTTCTCTCTTTTTCCTCTTTTCCCTCTTTTCTCGGCCAAACTTAGGAAAATAAACCCATTTGGCCTCTAATGACACCCGTAGGTCCGTTTTAGAACAATTGGAATATTATATTAATATTTCTAATAATATCTCTTTTTTACTTTCTAAATTAAATTAAAGAAATTACTTTAATTCCCATAATTTAATTTTACTAATTCCACTTAAGTTTAACACATAACTTGAGTGGTTCTATGTGTTAGCGTTTATGCCCTTAGGAATAAATGTAATAATATTCTTTGAGATATTTTGACTATTAATAAAGATTTGTTTATTTTATATATCTATGAATTGTCCTATTTATGTTCATAATAGTTGAATGTATGATAAGCAAACTGAAAGTCTGAGACTGTCATTCTAAATCTTTAGGTCATGCATGTAATGTGAAGAACATGCGGAAGACAAGAATCTAAAGATGATAGTCTAAATCTTATGATCCACAATCGAGGGAATAAAGTT